TTTAAAAACACTACCTTATTTATTATGCCTACCCTAAAATAAAAAAAAAAAATTAATTATAGTAATGGAGTTAGTATAGTAAAGTTTTCCCCAAAATAAGGGTGCTTCTTATATTCCGAAAAATACGGTACTTATTTAAACCAGAACAATAAATACCGTAATTAAAAGGGGATTAATTCGTCATGAAATGAGACCTATAAGTTGACTTGCTGGGATTTTTATATGGACAACCTAAAATACGTAAGGAAAATCACCTGATGGAACCTATCGTAACAATTATTGGATTACAGTGAAAAGAGCACACCAAAAACAGATTTACTATAAAAGATAATTATGAATTTTGAGTGAAAATAAGAAACTTTAAATTTGATTAAAATGTATGTGTATCTGGTCGGTCTGGATGTTGAAACTTTATTTAACAGTATTTCCTAAAACGGAATTATTAGCATTTCTTTAGATTTGCTGTGCAATGATGAGTATAACTATAACAAGCGTAGATAGAGAGAAATTAAGAAATTAATGGGAACAAAAAACACACTATATTTTTTTTGTAAGGAAATAATTGAGCAGAAAGATGGTATAAGTTAGGCTCAAGTTTAGTACGTATGATGACGTAATTATATCTAGAGAAGAACACTACCAATGACACAATAAATCTTCGTATAAGACACACAAAAAAAGCTTGAGAACTCTGAATGGAGCAAGATAACTCACAGAGTACGTCCAAAAAACCTCTCATGTTGATCATTGGTTCTGTGTTGATTTGACACATGTAATAGCCTCTGTCATCCTCCTTGACGTCCCGGATGTGCAAGTACCACTGGCGGAAGTTGTTGTTAGTCGAGCGGATCCGGTTATCCCGAGTTATGACCTTTGTGTCGATGGTTAGCAAAGTCTGGGTATTCAGTTTAATCCACGCCACCTACAAAATGTTAAGGCTGCGTAAGTTGCTTGTAACCTATTGTACGTCGGCTGTCCGATCACAGGTAGACGTTACAGTATTAATAATGCTAACGAAGTACAACTAAACACACAGACACCAAGTCATGGAAATTAAACTGTTCACATTTATGGAACACAGATCTTCGTAAACCAGCTTATGATAGAAACAAGAAAAAACCTTGATCAGATACAACTAAGTTTGGAAGGAAATTTTAGAGATATTGTGATTTCTTCCATAAGTAATCTTTAGAAAAAACATGTCATTAAATATGGTTCTTAATGGAGAACATTTTTTTAAAATAATTATCTTAACAATAAAAACCTGGAACACTTAATCTAGTATACATTTCATACAGTTACATGTCATTAAACATGGTTCTTATTGCAGATCATTTTTTAAAAGTAATTATCTTAACAAAATGACATGGAACACTTAATCGAGTATACATTTCATACAGTTACATGTCATTAAACATGGTTCTTATTGCAGAACATTTTTTTAAAATAATGATCTTAACAATAAAAACCTGGAACACTTAATCTAGTATACATTTCATACAGTTACATGTCATCAACCATGGTTCTTATTGCAGAACATTTTTTTAAAATAATTATCTTAACAAAAGACCATGGACCACTTAATCGAGTATATATTTCATACAGTTACATGTCATTAAACATGGTTCTTATTGCAGAACATTTTTTTTAAAATAATGATCTTAACAAAATGACATGGAACACTTAATCTAGTATACATTTCATACAGTTACATGTCATTAAAACATGGTCCTTATTGCAGAACATTTTTTTAAAATAATGATCTTAACAATAAAAACCTGGAACACTTAATCGAGTATATATTTCATACAGTTACATGTCATTAAACATGGTTCTAATTGCAGAACATTTTTTAAAGAAATTATCTTAACAAAATGACATGGAACCACTTAATCTAGTATACATTTCATACAGTTACATGTCATTAAACATGGTTCTTATTGCAGAACATTTTTAAAAAATAATCATCTTAACAAAAAACCATGAACCACTTAATCGAGTATATATTTCATACAGCTACATAAAACAATTTATCCAACATCTTTAGTCTCTTGAAATAATGAGTAAATATGCATCATTGATGTTGATTTGTTGAATTTCGTGAAACGTTACTCGAGGGCTATCTGCGATACAAGTACCCGATTTTGAAGTGATAGTCTAGAGGGAAGACAACTAGTCAACACCACCCACCGCCACGTCGTGGGCTCCTCTAATCGAGTAGCGTAGTTTGACAGTCACTTTTATAACGCACACACTACACCATCTTGCGGAGCGCGAGTTCTTTCGGCGGATATCGAAACACAAACCACAGACCGTCGGATCCACAATGCAACACATTAAACACGCTCGGTCAAAGTTTCATTGATTAGCCGGTAACAATAATAATGACATTATTTGTTTGTTTTGAATTTCGCGCAAAGCTACACGAGAGCTATCTGCGCTAGCCGTCCCTAATTTAGCAGTGTAAGAATAGAGGGAAGGCAGCTAGTCATCACCACCCACCGCCAACCTTTTTACCAACGAATAGTGTGATTGACCGTCACATTATAATACCCCCACGGCTGAAAGGGGCGAACATGTTTGGTGGGACGGGGATTCGAACCCGCGACCCGCAGATTGCGAGTCGAGATCCCTAACCACCTGGCCATGCCCGGGCCAAACTAGTAGGAATAGAAATAAGTTTCATACATCTAAAAAAACAACAATATATTACAATAGATTAAATAACTTAGTCCAATTTCTAGTTCATTTAAAAAGAAAACGATCTAAAAACTCAATTTGGAAGAAACAGAAGCGAGATACGCCATATGAGCACGAAGAAAATAAAATAATTCGAGATACACCTTATGAGCACGAAGAAAATAAAATAATTCGAGATACACCTTATGAGCACGAAGAAAATAAAATAATTCGAGATACACCTTATGAGCACGAAGAAAATAAAATAATTTGATACATTTGAAAGAAAATTTCGTGCAGGGAACAGTTGGAAAATACAAAAAACTAACATTTATTTTTTTTTCTCTTATTAATCTTGTTGTCTCCCTTCAATTACCTTGTAATTTCCCAAGTTCTCCACAGTACACTCCAGACGAGCCTCACGTCCCACAGCCGCGGTAATGTTTGGTATAGCGTCGGCAAACTGCGGGAGTTCTCCTGAAAACAAAAATCAATGGTGCTCAGTAAACGCGCTCTTTGGATTGGCATATGCATTTATTTGAGTCACATACCCGTTATAGGGGCTATAGTTGTAATAATATGCTATAATCTAGTAATATGCATTACCAGGTAATGATTATGCTAATCTTATGTACTTTGTGTAACATGCTCACTGTTTACATAAAGTTTGCGTTTGCTTGTTTTTATGTATATCTTTAGCGAAAATCTGCACAATGGGCTATGTGAGATCTACCCACGGCGGAAAATCGAACCCTTGATGTCAACGTTGTAAGTACGTAAATTTATCACCAGTGGATATGAAATTTGAGATTTCCAACTTCGAGCATTAATTAATTTGAGATTATTTTGCTTTTAACTAGATGAAGAAACTGAGAATCACAAACAACTTAAAAAAATTCTGAAAAGTTACTGTACAAAAAAAAAAGAAGAGAAAACGACTTAACCATTAGGTGGCACTACAGGTTAAAAAGTTTTAAATGAGAAGCTCACTCAAATCTATTTGTGCCTCGATATGCTAAACCTTGTAATAAAGTTAATTTATAATAAACATTTAAGGGCTCAGATTTTATTGTAACAAGATTCTGCAAAGGACGGCGACGTCAACCTTAAACCACATGACTTGACAGACTTTCTACTGTACTTGGACGTCATCTTCCAAGATCACTATCCAAAACATACCACCAGGTGGTTTGCCTCAAATCAGAACCCTACCACCCTCCACCCACTCTTAAGAGATTGGACTGTCACTCTCATAATGTACACATAGATTAAAGTGTGTGTGTGGGGGGGGGGGGTATTTTATGGTGTTGCAGGCAGCAGCCCCCTGCCAACTAAGAGATTGGACTGTCACTTTCATAACGTACACATAGATTAAAGTGTGGGGGGATATTTTATGGTGTTTCAGGCAGCAGCACCCGACCAACTAAGAGATTGGACTGTCACTTTCATAACGTACACATAGATTAAAGTGTGGGGGGATATTTTATGATGTTGCAGGCAGCAGCACCCTGCCAACTAAGAGATTGGACTGTCACTTTCATAACGTACACATAGATTAAAGTGTGTCCAATTATAATTGAAGGAATAGACTTTAGTTGTATTAAAAATCCACATTTCAAGGTATATTTTAAATTCTAAAATTCAAGAAATGTGGGCGCAGGTTGGCCCTTTGGTAGAGCTCTGGATTTCGGAGCTGGTGAGCTAGGTTGCTATTCGTGCGACACCATAAAATATCCCCCCCCGATTAATTTAACTGCATATTTTGTACATTTTGTTTATACCAATACATAAACAATACACGTGCTAAAAATTATCATCTGTTCCTTGCTCGAGCAAAATATCACAGTCACAAACCATCTCATAAAATTCAATATGAAAATTCTATCATTGTATTTTTTTCTTCGAGACTTTAGATTTTTGTTTTGTTTTGTTTTGAATTTCGCGCAAAGCTACACGAAGGCTATCTGCGCTGGCCGTCCCTAATTTAGCAGTGTAAGACTAGAGGGAAGGCAGCTAGTCATCACCGCCAACTCTTGGGCTACTCTTTTACCAACGAATAGTGGGATTGACCGTCACGGTTGAAATGGCGAGCATGTTTGGTGTGACGGGGATTCGAACCCGCGACCCTCAGATTGCGAATCGAGCGCCCCCTAGCCACCTGGCCATGCCGGGCCTAAGATACTTTAGATAAGACATATGGCGTTTTGTGCGAGTTAAAAACAATATCTTAATGCGTACTAGTAATTGAAAACCTAAGAAGCAAATATTTATGAATATTAATGTTTATAAGTATCATATTTATCATTACTGCAGTATACCAACTAAAACAATATAAAATATACGAGCATGTGTCCAAAAAATAATGTTTCTTTTGTTTATTTGTAATTAAGCACAAAGCTACACAATGGGCATTCTGTGCTCTGCCCACGACATGTTTCGAATATCGCTTTGCCGCTTGTGGGCAATAATGTTTCTGTTGTAGAAATAGTTGGCACCAGAGAGAAAATAAGTTGTAACAGTAGAGTTTGTAAAAAAAACAACAACAAAGATTCAGGTTGCGTAAACAAGTACATGAAAATGGTTTATTTACCATTCACCGTCTCACGAATACACACTCACACTGATGACAAAAACATGTGTCCTGAAATTGACAGTTAAGTAAAAACAGTGACGATATCACTTTGAGTGAGGTAGGGGTCTTCTTTGTAAAAAAAAATAAAAACTGATATTTGTCACGATGAGAAAAGCAAGTAGAACTCTGAAAGATCTTAAGATTGGCCTGAAAAATCAGTGACAATAATCTACATTCATATCGCTAGAGTTCAATAATAAACAAATAATCTACATTCATATCGCTAGAGTTCAATAATCAGTAACAATAATCTACATTCAAATCGCTAGAGTTCAATAATAAACAAATCATCTACGTTTCATTCATATCGCTAGAGTTCAATAATAAACAAATCATCTACGTTTCATTCATATCGCTAGAGTTCAATAATAAACAAATCATCTACGTTTCATTCATATCGCTAGAGTTCAATAATAAACAAATCATCTACGTTTCATTCATATCGCTAGAGTTCAATAATAAACAAATCATCTACGTTTCATTCAAATCGCTAGAGTTCAATAATAAACAAATAATCTACGTTTCATTCATATCGCTAAAGTTCAATAATAAACAAATAATTTACGTTTCATTCATATCGCTAGAGTTCAATGATAAACAAATAATCTACGTTTCATTCATATCGCTAGAGTTCAATAATAAACAAATAATCTATGTTTCATTCATATCGCTAGAGTTCAATAATAAACAAATAATCTATGTTTCATTCAAATCGCCAGAGTACAATAATAAACAAATAATCTACGTTTCATTCATATC